TAGGGAAAATGAGAGAATTCTGACCTCTGCGGTAGGTGCCAAAGAGCTGCTCAGAAAAGGCTGTAGAATTCATTGCTGATGTCCCTTAGTTTGTCTTTGGGGACAAGGGATTTCTGCGATTGTGTTGCATCTTGCTCTGGCACTGCAAAATAGTGGTTGGCCCCAGCTTGTGTGGTGTCACTATGTAGCTCCTCTTCCTTCTTTCAACTGGAGATTACTTGGTTAAGGGGATCTGCTTCACGGAGGAATTTGTCTTCTGAAATCCAGTGGCCATATTTACCAGCTTAATCTTCTGAGGTTTTTTAATGCTGAATTGCACATAGTAAGGATTTTTTTCCCTGGATGAAATCAAGCTGTAATCTGAGCGCGGGAGCGGCATTACCAAGCTGTACCACGCACCTCCTGAGTGCCCTCTCAGAAGGGTAGTGATCACGGTGCCGATCAGTTTGAGCTGCAGTTTTTGCCCATTAGGCAGTAGTAATTCAGTTATTTTCAATACAAAGGCAACATCTGCCAGCATCCTTAAGCCCTTTACTTGTGGGACAGCCATCTGTTCTGGTGTCATCTTCCCGGACGTTGCTGCAACTCTGGCACACGTCCAGCGCTCCAGCTCACTTCTCCAGCAATCCCTGCTATAGAAAGAGACCTGCTTGGGCATGGCTTACTGTCCCCTACTTTCTCATAAGCAACTTCATGTCCTGGTACAGTAATCCTCCTACCAGCTTGAAGTCACTGAATAGACTGAGTTCCTGGTGCCGTAAATCCCTTTACTGTGGAAGTGTCTGAAGACTGTCCCTCAAACCAGCATTGACATCTGTATTAATTTAATTAGGTGACTTGGATAGCAAACTGGGTATTGTGTTGCTTTATGTTTGTCCTCGGTACAGTTGGAGTGTTTTTCACCACTTGTTTTCTAAAGGATTAGCCACATTTGACTTCCAAACCTTTAAAGTATCGGAACGCTCAGAAGCAACCAAAGTGTGTAGGTTTTGGGGGGTTTATTTTCGTTTTTTGGTTTTTTTCCCCTCCTCCTCCTCCTTACTGGAAGGTAGAGGAAATGACTTGAGCTGGCGATGAACAGCTTGGCTGGAAGTTGAATTGCCTGAATTCCTTTTAAGTCAGAAGAAAGATATTGTACAGGAAGTCTTTTTTGTGGAATTCATGCCAACTGTGGGCGCTAATCTTGCGGTATGGACCATGGGTGGAACAAGACAGATGGGTCAGCTACAGCCTTCGTGTGGACAGCACTCTTTATTCCAGCATGTTGGAGATGGCAGCTCCAACTCTTGCCTGTGTTGCACCTCCTTTGGATGCTCTTGCTGTCACTTACTGGAGCGCATGTGGAACATGAAGTGATTTTTTTTTTTCTTTGTTAATTTTAGGTGGCTTCTTCAGAGGCAAACTTCTAGTAGATGGTGGCTTAGCTTCCAAATGGAAGGCTATTTAGCAGGTTTTTGAAATTCAGGTGGTGGTTGGGTTAATTTTGTTGCCATGATATGAATTCTTTAATGAAGTTCTGAGCATGGGGCATTTCTGTTCTGAAATGCAAGAAAATAAGTAATATCCAGGGACAAAAATTGAGGCCAATGTTAACTTCTATTAAAAGATGTATGGACAATAGCTGAGTCAGCATTACTATCTTAACAAGTACACGGTGTTATTGAAAAAATAATTACTCAAGTCTCTTAATCCTCCCCATGTTAACTGCGTATTTTCAGAAGCTTTGTAATCTTGCGTGTTAATGCCTTTATAGACTGCAGGCTTTAAGTTCTGTGTATAAAGTGCAGATGAGTGACAATTGAGAAATGTTTTGGGTACATGATAGACATGTCTCATCCATTTTTATTCTATCTCTAAAAACAGAATAGTCTTTTATGTGCTTTGAAATGTTTGAAACCTGTTACTGAAAGGAAAGACTTACCGGATATCTAGCTGCTTTGTAGTGCTTGCTGCAAACAAAACAAAATGTTTTTGCAACTGTGGCCTGACTTAAAGCAAGGATGTTTGACTCAACATTTTTCAGAAGTACAGGCTAGTGACCACCAAAAATACTCTGGGCAACAACAGGCCACAAACTGTGAACTTATGACTTAATCTTTTGCGGCCTTGGCTTTCCTCCCACAAATATACTGTGTGTTCAGGGTCGTTCTTCAGGGATCAGGAGCTTTTTTGAGCAACGCTTGAATTTCACTTCCAAGAGTGAGCATTGTTTTTGAACGAGGAAGTTTTCTCCTCTGGCGAATGCCAGAAAAGCTCCTCCGGAGCGTAGAGAGCAAATCTTTTTTTGCCTTTTGTTCTCCACTTATTTAAATGTTGTCTAATGGTCAGTTCTGTTGCTGGACTCTTCATCTAGACTGGCTCATCTTGAAACTTCAAACATTGTGTGGTCATAAAACTTCAAGTATAAAATTATAATTTTTTTTATCAGTCAAACTGATTTTAACCCACTTTTTTTTTCCTGCTTTAGGAACCAATAAAATCACGTGCACCACAGCTTCATTTAGAGTACAGGTTTTATAAACAACTTGGAAGTGCAGGTAAGTAAACCTACCTTAAGTTTGTGGAAAGTATGTGGTTTTATTAAAGCAAATGATGCTATCATGTTTGTTGTGTAATTCCGACTTGAACTTACTAATTTGGGCAAATTCTTGTAGTCCCATACAAGCTCTTGGAAGAGATTTGGTCAGAATAACATCTTAATGGTATTGGCAGTTATGCGGACCTGGGAACTCTCCTTAGTAAACTGCTTATTGTGTTAGTAAGGATTGAATGACATGTGAAATACCTACATAAATGTGTTCTTAAAACATAGGAACCTTTAATGGCCTGAAAGCTATTTGTATATAGCAGACAGAGTTCAAAAAGGTGATTTGAAGCCTTAAAGCACAGAAAATTGCGTAAGAAGCATAAGGCCTTTCTAACGAAATACTGAAATGCCTTGTTTTCATTGCTTTTTACTGAGTCATAAGTGTGTCCAGAAACTTATCTACACGGTATCCTCTGTGTGACAGTAGTCCATAGCAAACATGAGGGAAGAATATAACAGTTAGATAAGCCTATGGTAATTGTATATATGTTTATATTTTTATATAAATAAATATATATATATATATATATATTTCACAGAATCGCAGAATGGTTTAGGTTGGAAGGGACCTCTGGAGATCATCTAGTCCAACCTCCCTGCTCATGCAGGGTCCTCTAGAGCATGTTTCCCAGGATCAGGATTCCCAGGATTTCTTTTCCTCCGAGTTCTCTGGTTTCTCTAACGTAGGGCTTGAGCTTGCATCTGTGTCTGGATTTTTCCTCCATGAGTTTATGATTGCTTTTTCAACTTACATAGACTATTGGCTTATGCCCTGTGACAGTAACTTCGATAGCCTTGACTAGACACAGAATGAAGGAGCATTTCGGAAGCGAAGATCTTACCTCTGCTCCTTCTATGCCTTGATAATATATTGATCTTGGGTTTTGGCAACTTTCCTACTTTACTATAGGGTTTTTTTTTTACTTTTTCTTTCCTGATTTTTGTTTGTTTTCCCCTGGGGGGATCCAACTTCCACTCGCAGAGGGTGTGCTCTCAGGTCTTTCTTTCTGCTCAAATTAGTATTTTGGCAATATTTGGTGGTATATCTGCTCTGAGCTCATAATATATGGTACTCGCACAGTCATCCTGCGTTTTTACTTTTTGCTCGTTCCCATCAATTTCTCTAACCATTTGCCTCAATTTTGTGCAGCATATCCTCTGGAGACTGGATGCTATTTTGCACTCTACGTTTTTGGCTTTTTTGCTCCTTGTAGGATGCAATATGTGGGATCCGAGTAAGTTGTCACAATCGTAAACAAGGGGCGTTTTTTTGTTTATTTGGGAGGGTTTTTTCTGAAGCAGGTCTTGTGGTATATCACAGAAGTTCTTGTCTCTATGGGTACCTTGGTCAGCCGCTCCAAGGAGCAGTCACTTATGGAGCTTCAAGTATTGAGCTTGTGCTTGTGCAGGTTAATACCTGTAGCGTGATATTTGCCCGGTCATGGGGTAATTGATCTTTTCCATTATTGCATTTGCTTCCCTTGTTGCCTCTCTGATCGCCTCTAGCATGTGAGTGTTGCTGTTCCCGTCGGGTGGCTGTTGGTCAGCCCTGCTGTGATGTTCTTCCGATTTAGCTTTGACGTTTCAGTCCTGTGCTATGCTGGCGCAAGTCACGTGTATGGGACTTGATCCTAAGCTTTCCTTAACGCATAGCAGTGTTTGTCCACTGAAATAAGGTGCTCTTTTCTATGTACTTTCTATTCTGGGGTTAGCATCCTGCTGATTATCCACTGCCCATAAAATTTCTCGTAGGTTAATGTCTACTTTTAATTCCAGTTACCTGTGTTTTTTGAGACTCGTAGCGTTTCTACCAAAGCCTTTTATAATAAATAAAAGCGAGGTAGGTTCACAGAGTGAATGCAACACTTGAATTCTGCTTTTCATTCCCAATTTGAGTTTTGCTGATGCCTGCTGTCTCTGGGATACCCTAGAGAATGTGTCATCCCAGTCAGCTTTTTCTACACCTGCCAGCTCTCTACCACTCTTTAAAGATGTTATTGAGGAATTTTTTAACTGATTGAGTATTAGAAGCTTGGCTTTATTTTGGTTTAGATTAAATATTTTCTTGTATGGGTTTTCTGCTGTTCCTAATGAATCTAAATTCTTCTTCCTGCAACGCTTATCCACCCACACGTTGCATTTCTGCCCTCTCAGATCCTGTGCATGGCAATGGAAGTATTTTTGAATATGCTGCCATCGGACATAGAAATCTTGCTTTCAAGATCTCTCTTCCCCTCATTCTGTGGGGGACTGACTGTTATCTGTAGCTCTTTGCCAGTATTTGTCAAGACAGTGTTTGAAGGTCTTACGAAGGACATGACTTTCGTCTCTAAATCTATATGGTCCCACTGGCATCACAAACCTGACTCTGAAAATCTGTTTATTTCCATTAGAAGCTCTCGAGCTCCAGTTTTGCTAAGAAGCCTGGAAAGAAGCCAGAAGCTAGGGTGGAGAATGTGAGCTGTATCTCTAGTCTCTCCATGAAACTTGGAAGCTTAACAAAATAAATTTTGGTGGAGTCAGACTGCCAGGGCCAGGGAGTCTCAGCGTGCTGGGCAGACATCAATTTGAGAATTGGGGAAAGACTGTCTGTCTGTAAGAACAGATTGGGGCTAAATATGTTCCGACTTCGGAGAAATAGTTGGGACTGTTCTGAGTGGTGTGGTTAATGCCAGGCTCCCCTTACATTTTAATGGTCTTCACTTTGAAAGCTTCAACTGTTGAAACAGGCTGCCTTTAACTTCCAGTAAGCTGGTCTGGTTACTTTAAGTTATTGTAGGCTCGCCAAACTAAGAGTGAATGTGTCCAGACCCATGGTGTGTATGACTCAGTTACAAACGGTAGTGCTGCATGTCACATACTGCTCAATAAATGAGCTAATTAATCTTGCCAGCTAACGTGGCTGACTGTGAACCTCCCACCACTAACCTAAAAAGTGATATAGTAGTCCTCTAGTTAGTGTAACTACCTTGTTCAACTGACTGTATAAGCAGATGGTCTCAGTGAGCTGTATCTCTATGAGAAGTCAAAATTGTCATCAGCTGCTTTTACATGCAGCAGTTGTAAGTATATTTTAATGAGAAGAATGTTGGTGGCGATCTCCTTTTCCCTGGATGTTCAGAATAAACATTTTAAAAGTGTATTAATCTTATATAATAATCGTAGGACAGTGCTGTTTGGAAGGGACCAGCTTACTGTGAATCAAGGAGGAACAGTCCTGTAGGATGTCTTTGTCAGTGTGAAGCTGGGACTAGCATGCTAGTGTGGACAAGCCTGGAAGTAGGTGTTCTGTGGCAGTCTGCTTTTCCAAGGAACAGTCTTGAATGTTAGGACTACTGAAAAGCCGGGTCATGATTTGCTAGATATGGACAAAATAGTGAAGCGCAACCTCAATATGCTGCCAAACTCTGGATCTTACTGAAACCCATGTGTGTTTATTGCTTATTGTTGAAGTCCACCTAGTCATGTTAGGGAGGCATGGAGTCCTTGACCACACCGGTAGCAGATACGAAACCTTTGGGGATAGCTTTACAACTGGCTTTGTAACGCAGACTTTGGAGCCTTTTTCCTTATACTGCATCTAATACCCCTTTGGGGGTCTCTGCCTATGTTTTAGAACAATACTACAGTTAAATGTCTGAAGGATGTGTATTGGTTACCTGCTTCCCTTGTTGCCGTCATCAAAAACTAGTGGAATTAGTCTGTTTTCAAGCTATTCAGTCTAATATTGCCTTTTCCTTGATGTAGTTGAATAGCGTTGCACACAGCTCAATAATTGAGGGCTCTGTCAAAAGTTAATTCCTCGGATTAACCTCCTTTTTAGATGTTTCCACGTGAATGGAATAGGCAGCTATCGCACAATTGTGCTGTTTCTTCCCTTTGCAGCTACACTAGCTTCCAGTGCCAGATGCTCCACGGGCACCTATGTTTAAAGATTTTTCTGATGAGACACTGAAGTTGCATCTGTTACCTCCCGTCGGCACCAGCTTCTTTATCTGCCATGGGACTCAGTTGAAGATCACTCGTCACTTGGTTTAGCTTAGCAGAAGATTAGATTTGCCTTTCTCATTAGACCTTAAGACATATTTCACGTTAGCTTAAGGTACACCGGAGTAGTGAAAAGTTTGATAAAGGGGACTGAACTGTATGAATTTAACTCTTAGTAAAACACAATTTAATAGGTTTTTGTAGCACTACTCAAAATTAACTCAATGCTCTGTTAGTGGATATATCAAATGGATTCAGAATTAGCAAACTAAGGTGGTCATGGGTCAGGAGTAACCAGCTGATGGGCATTTCTGATGCAGTTCTGCAGGAACAGGTGCTAGCCCTGATGTGTCAATGCTCCCTATAGTGGGAGAAAGTAACAGTTCTCCAAAGAATTTGTGCTTTGCCCCTCCAAGTGAAGGGATATTTGCTTATCTGCCATGATAGAAACTAAATTAAGTTTTTTGAAAGCAAAACCAAAAAACTCCTTGCCTGCATTGCCAGTTCACATGCTCCACCCTGCCTCTAGATCCGTTTTCCTGCATTAGGAGAGAAGATGCAGAGGGAAAGCGGGGAGCACTCAGGCGCACAGGCGAATCGCAGGGATGCTAGCTTGCAAGAACATCTGTGAACCATCCAACAAGCTGCTTGGCAAGGCAGTTTCACGACATGGTTCACTCGTGGAGATGCAAAGGTAGCTATTGCCTAAGAGTTGCTAGTAAGGAGCCTCTTTTTCTCCTCCCTACTCTGTCCTCTGGCACAGTGCTTGGATGTATATGGTTCCTATTGGAAATAAAGATGTTATGATTATTCCTTTAACTTTTTTACCCCTCCTCAAAAAAGAAGCAGAGACTTGCTGCGCAGTGACCATCTGTCAGTTTCTTCTGTCTCACTGTGGAATTAAATATTTAATAGCCTAAAATAGTGTGCGACTGTTTTACCTTAATGTAGGCAATGAAACAA